CCCACCACCACCACACACACAAAAAAAACTTGCACTAATTTCCCTTTTACACCTTAATAGAACCAGGTCCCTTTTACACACCTTAACTTGAAAATTCCGTAGCTAGTGTCCCCCATAGTTTTGACACGTGGCAAGCACGTCTTTTTCCAACATTTCTAGCGTGTTAAGAGGTTAAAATTATTAAAAATTGAGACAAATTGGACACTTAGATGCTAAAGCAGATTGTGTTTTAAGAAGGTAAAGGTGGGAGGGTGGGTGATTTCTTTTTGTTACCTTCACTACAGATGTGGGTCAACAGGAGTAACTTAGGTGATGCCAAAGATGGCACCAGACACTAAGTCCCGGATTTTCCCAAACAGAAGAATGGAGGAGGCTCTCAAGTTTGAAATCCAAACAGAAAGGACAATATGCTGGAGAAATAGGGCCAAAACATGGCCTTCCATTGGTTCAGAGCATTTCTGGGCCCAACTTAATGAGAGGATAGACCAAGAGGAACCTAAAGGAGAAAAGGCAAAAAGCAAAAAAAAAAACACTTTCATATCATGCAATTAGCTCTATCCCTGCACCCTTCCCTTCTTTCTTGCATCCACCATACCAAACCAAAGGGCCTCTAAGAGTTTAGAGCACACAACATTTAGTGCAGTGTTATCAAAGGCGCGCTTAAGCTCTGAAACGAGGCTCAAACATGTTGAGCGCTTCGCCTCGCTTAGCGGGCGCTTCAGTATTGTCATCAAGACTCTAAGACATACTTTTGCTTACCAACGAGCGTAATCCTAAAGAGGCGACACTAAACAATTGATATTTTACTTTATCGTAAATTTTCTTCAACTTCTTTGTCCATATATTTGGTATTCATGCTTATAGAAATTAGTTTTGGACTACACATATATATTTGTAGTTATTCTCTATTTGCGTCTTTCTTCATTAAAGCCCACGCTTTATTTGCGCTTAAAGCCCTACCAGACCTTAGAGCTTTTTTGCGCTTTTCGCCTTTGATAACACTGATTTAGTGGCGCATTAGCATGCGTAAAAAGGAAATAGCCTACCATTTTTCATTATCAAAACTAGAAAGGAAATAGCCTACCATTTTTCATTATCAAAACTAGAAAGGAAATAGCCTACCATTTTTTATTTTTAGTAGTGCTAGTTCCAGTGTAGCTTTTGCATCTTCAATGCTGTCATGCCCATTGCCCGAGTCCTGTATCTCCCTGCCGAGAAATTTTCTGCTCAGAACGCGAAGAGCAGCTTTGTAGGATCCTCTTGGATGTTTGTACAACACAGCAGTATCGATTACCAAATTATGAATGATCTTCAGGGCTAACAAATCATTTTCCAAGGAATGCCCAACCAGAATGGTCTCCTTGTGAACCAGTTTCAAGAACTCCTCCTGAAGAAAGAAAAAAATAGTTAACACAAGTAGGACATGTATAGCAAATCATCCACCATGCATGTCCAAGAAATCTGCAAGAAACTATTAATGATGATTGCTTCATTTCCAATTATTAAAATGGAAGAAAGAGGCTAGCAGATGAAAGGCTCTACAGATGAACCTGGATATCTTTAAGAGTGGTAGTCACATCCTCCAACATCTGACAAGTAATTCCACTATACCTGCAAAAGTTCAGATTGCTAAACATAAAGCAAGGCTATCACTTAATGAAAAGAGAGGAAGCATATATATTTAAACTGCAAACAAGCTAAAGGTGTTCTTTCAAGTTAAAGACTTGCCTTCAGAGTTGATGTGATTCCGTCCCACCCAAAAAAAAAAAAACTAGAGAACAGACTGTAAGACTAAAATCTTCAAGAAAGAGAATGTAACTCCTAAGTTTGTTTATTAGTTTTGTCTTCCTCTTTGTTTTTGGGAAAATATTTTTTTTCCTGCATCGTTAAGTAATTTTGTGCTTAACAACTATTTTAGGTTACCTTACCAAAAAAGCAACCATTTTAGCTAATAAACAAGAAATTTTATTTCGCCTACATCAGAAGAAAATTGGCAGAGTTCAGCAACTGCAAGTTGAATTTCAGCTGTGTTAGCCTCCCCACTGAGCACTCCCCCCNCCCACAAAACTCCTAAAGTTGACTTTTGTATTCTTAAACAACAGTTTTCTTTTGAATCATCCATCCAGTTCTGTTTCCACATTGTCCCTCACTAAGCCGAGAATGGAATTACACTCGCTCTACCCCATAACAATATAAAATGGAAAAACACAGAGAACAAAAAAAAAAAAAAAAGGATAAAAATTATTGCCCTACAAACTGCACACCAATTGTGTTACCTTATCAAAAAAAGTAAAAAAAAAAAAAAA